GCGTATTCTACCACTTAGGGATAAAACAAACAGTGATTTGATGATGTTACTAAATCTTTAATCTTCAAACTCTACCATGAGTACCATATTTGATTTTAACTTGAACTTGAATCTAAGGTCCACACTTGAATATCCAATCTTCAAATTTCACTACAAGCAACATATTTGATTTGACTTGAACTTGAATCAAATGCCCTCAAAGGGACATTTGAACTTGAATTCAAGGGCCACAAACTTGTCATTGGATTTAATATCATTTTGAAATATAATATAATGACCAAAGGCGTATTCATAGATTTGATTTTTTGTCTTGAGAGAATTCTTAAGTGAATTTGATAAAGTATTCTAAAAAAATATCGAGGACTCGAAATGTTACTTGACTTGAAGAGGAGACCCATATTTATAATCAAAATAGGTTGGTTCAGGTTTTTAGAAAAAAAAAAAAAATCTTGCAAAATCTTTTTATAGTTCAGATGACTCAGCTTAAGAAATCTATTTAACTTAAACTTTGAAAATAACTCAACCCCAGTAATTCATTGCTATCGATTTAACTTAAGTTTTGATAATAGAACAACCAAAACAATTCATTGCAAATCGATTTGAATAATGAACTCACTTTAATTAACTTAAAAATGCACCTTGCACTTTCATTTTGAAGGCCACGTGGCATTGGCTCAATTTGATTGCAAGGATTAGCGGACTTGCCACAAAGTTCATTTAATTAAACTTAATCAAGACAAATTTTTATTTTTTTAATCTTGGCTAGATAAATTAATTTAATTTAACCTTCGCTGCCTACAACAATGTTTTTTGTAATTGAAAACCAAAGATGATCTGACTAAAAGGGAAATGTTATTTACACTCCCATTTTTGTTATTCACGCTACCACTGTAATTTTAATCATATAACTATCATTTAGTAAACTAAATGATAAAACAAATAATGGGTGTGCAAATAACAAAAAATGAAGTACAAATAACTTTTTCCAACTAAAAAAAGGATCCATGTTTGTCAATTCAAAAGTAATAACACCATTGACAAAGTATATATCCAAAATCTTTTGCTCGAAGTGATCCCCAAATCTTGCTCAATGACTTCTGCATCAAGTACATCATGCATAAATGGTTCTATTGTTCTCATCTTTAGGAGCACAACTACAAGGGAAAACATTTCACCAGTCATGTTGTGAACATTTCTTTGTATTGGAACATTAATTAATTCTATACACGGGTTCCACCTTTTCATAATCCAAAACACAATTTTCCTTTACAACCCGTAATCCTATATACACCAAACAAAAATGTTTATTTGGCATATTAAGTATTTGTGAAAGAAGGGAGACAGAGTATGAAGAATAGCCAAGAGGGGTTTGGAAAAATTTTGACAGCCTCTACTTTGCATTAGAAAGTGAACAAGAAGGGGAACAGCTTTTGGACTCAAAGTTTCAGCTCCCAGCGAAATTGTGGCCAAGACCAACGTGGTTATTTAATTTTGGTTTTTCTTATCTGATTTTCTAAATTTTAAAATTGTATCTAGTTTTTTTCCCAAACTACATACATACATACATATATATATATATATATATATATATATATATATATATATATATATATATATATATAAAGCATAGACAGATGGATGGGATTTGCTACTTCACCGTATAATTTAAATTAATTTCACAAGTTAGGATATTCTAGTAATTTTATCCAAACTAGATGGATTTTTTTTGATAGGTTGCAATTTTATCATTTATTTTATTATTAATTTCTCCTATTACCTGACTTGATGTGGATTAATTGCGGGATTCTATTCACTTTTAGTATTTTGCATTTATTTCAGGGAGTAGAACGAAAATATAATAACAGTTGCTAATTTGGCAGGAAAAGAGTCCAGATGATAGAGTTTGTCCTAGGGACATTTTTGAAACAACAAAACGTGAGCCCTTATCGGGCAAATTGGGCGAAGTCTTCATTTTTCCGCACAGGAGCCGCCGCAAGGAGCACTACTTTTTATATAGGAAAATTGGCAGGAAAAAAGGGAGTCTTCTTCTTCCTCTCCGGAAGGAGGCCGTCGCACAGAGAGGAATTAGAGAGAATAGGAATGGTGGGACAGCCACTGTCTTGCTTTTCTTCTTAGTTTTCCGTTCTTCTAGTTTAGCTTAGTTTTCTTTGACTTTTCCATTTTCGTCATCTAGTAGGGACTTGACCCTTTTTAGCTTGGAGTAGTAGTTTTCTTTTCAGCCGTACGTAGGAGAAGCAAGCAAACAATCAAGTACCTCCTGTAGCTTACTTTCTCTATTAAAGATAACGAAGTGAACTCGCTCATTTGGGACTGATGGCCGCGACTCTTGCTTTCTTTTCTCGTGGGTTTTGTTCATCGATTATGAACTAAATTTCCTCGCTCTAGTAAGGGAATAACGGATGCTTTGATTCGCCTAAAAAATTGTGAGATCGATTTAATTTTATCTTTTTTTTTATTTATTGCTATTCGCATATTTCCTGGTTGCAGTGCTTATGATTATTTAATTAATTGATTGTCTTGGATCCGGATAATTAATCAATTTAATAATCTATTGTCAATTGAGGTATTGAATCCGTAATTGTTTAATTGCCTCAAAATAGTGGCAACTGGCATAATTAGACTTGTGTCAGGGGAATACGCGGGCTAATCTAAAATAACTCTGGTAGTGCGTTATTTGATTAGAATAGGGCTCCTCTAATACGTAAGACAATTGGGGAATTAAATTCTATGGGCATACCTAAGATTATTTCTCAATTAGAGCAGTGATTAACGGGTGTACTTTAATCATCGACACAGTAAGGAGGGGTTGACTGTCATCGCTTGTTTGGCAGTTATAACCTATTTATTAGTAAATAATTGGAATTGCCTTTGCTTATCGATGATCAATTAGGTGAACCATTGCTGAAGTTATTTCTTGGCTAGATCCTTAATTATCACTCATTTGATTTTAGTAATTTGTTATTTAATTATTAGTAGTTTCTTAGATTTTATTTGAATTTATTTGATTGTCACTTTCTGCATAAAAACACCCCCTTGTCACTGTGAACTTGAAAAGAAATAATTACTCCCAGTCCCTGTGGATTCGACCCTGCTCACCGCTATCTACAGAAATTATTTTTAGTTTGAGCAGGTATTTATTATTGCACAGACTTCGACACCCTGTCATTTTTTTTTTTGTCTTTTTCCTGGTAGGATCCCTATTTCCATTGGTACATCAACAATCATTCTTCTACATTTTAAAAGTAAGATGGAGTGGAGCAGTCCCAAAATCAAGAGTTAGACTTAGAAGGTTCAATCGGTTTAACTAATAGTGTTTAAATCAGATGATGCCATACATATATTAACAAACAATGATTAAGGAATATTAAAAACAGAAAGAATGACAAAAAAAGGTACACAAAATAGCATAAGAAGATAATTTTTTTTGAGTTATTTTCCAACCAGACCTTTTTTTACCTAGTGAATTACTGTCTTGTTATTTTGGTTAACTTGAACGGAATAGTCATTCCATCATTACTTCAATCTAATAAACTGATTGGTCAATTAAAGGCTTTTCTTTATTAATTATTTTATTTTATTTAACTATTTTGCTTTTGAGCAAAGTGTGAGAAGCATTTCTAATTGGATTAGAAACTTCTCCAAAATGATTATATGTTTGTAAAAGGGGTAATTTCAAAAACCATCAGTGAGATTTATCCTAATAATATCACCCAACACCCCTAACATTTTAAAAATCTCACACAGTTTCCTCAAAATAACAATTTGGGTAACATTGCCATCCCTTATGTGTAAAAGTAATATTAAAAAATGCATTGGAGGAGAGAAATTATCTTTCTACTTTTATCTTTCTGCAATTTGATTTATGAATTTTGAAATATAAAGAAAAAGACAAATATGGTGGAATACTAAACTCAGAATATGAGAAGGTATAAGTGCAATAAGTAATAAATTTAATCGTTTCATAGTCAGACAACACCTTTGTATGCAAGGGTAATATTTTAAACTACTTCAACATTATAAAAAAAGAGACTAAAATTTCAGGAGATTGGTTACAGTGAGAAGAAAATTGTAGAAGATCTTTTGTAGCATAGACGAAAATTAAAAGTAAACATTTTTGCAATAAAGGGAGATAAAAATATTTTCAATGGCATTCTTGTTATTTTGTTATTAGATATTTTAGCATGTAGGAATTTTCTTTTACCTTTTTCAGGCCTTTGGCTACTTAAAAGGAAAACATTGGAGGTAACATTAATGTCATTTCAACGCCATTAATTAGGACTTCTAGTCATATAATACTAATAGGGAATGTTAGGGAAATTTTTAAAACTTTTTGGATGCTAGTTGATATTAGGATAAATCCCAAAATCAACCATGAAATTAACTACTTCTTGTTAGGGGTAGCAAAGGGGTGGGGGATTTTTCCCCGTCCCCCGCCCCATTGCCTATTAATTACCCCTGTCCCCCGCCTCGACTTCCCTCTCCTCGCCTCACCCTGCCCCGCCTCGTCCCCACTGGTTAAAAAAATTTTATTATATAATTTATTATAATTAAATTTGAATAAATAATTAAGTACTAAAATATCAACACATCACCAAATTATTATTCATTGTAATTTCACAATTGAAATTCATAAAAATAATTAAACAAAATTTATTTGAATACAATCTAATATGATAAAATAATCAAGTTTTTACTTTTGATACAAATACAATCACTAAATTATTATTATTTTTTTTAGAAAAAAAGTGTTATTATATTAAGTGTAGTTAGGAATTTAATATAAATGTATCAATAAATTTAATATAAATAATTAATAATTTTTATTAATAAACATGTATAATTAGTAGTATAATTGATAATATCATTATATATATAATTATATATCAATTATATTTTTTTTGTTTCAAACGGGTGGCGGGACAGGGGCCTTTTCTAAAACGGGGGAAAATCCCCACCCCTCCCCCCCCCCCCCCCCCCAGTAGTCCTCCGGCAGGCAGCCGCCCATTGCCATCCCTACTTCTTGTAGTTGGTTTCTAAGGATACGTCAGTGACCCAAGAAAGAACACTCGGACAGAAAGGGAGTGCCAAAAAAGGGATCAAAATCAAAACGAAAATGGCGGCTGCTGCTTCTTCTTGTTCTTCTTCAATTGCTAATAACCGCTCAGTTCATCATCGTCCCCGTGGCATCTTCAAGCATAATCATCAGCCCATCATCTCTGTTCCGCTCAGACACCAGCAATCGTCATCTACATCACTGTCTGTCCAACTTCAACCACCAAAAGATCAACTTGATTTGATTTACCTTTCTTTTTTCCTTTTTTCCCATTAAGTCAGATGTAATACTTATGTTTTTTACTTAATTTATAGAATCTGGATTTGGGATTTTGTGGAAGAGGAAGGAGGACGAGAAGGGCCGGCTGGGAAGTCTTGCAGCTGTTCGACAGTTGACTGGGTCACTCACAACTGCTGAGGGTCTCCGTTTTGGCATTGTCAGTGTCATTGCAATTTTCCTTTTCTCTCATCTATGCATTTTTTATTTTATATTCCAATCTTTTTAAAGATGTTTTAGTATGTCAATTAAATTCCTCTGTCCGATTCTTGGCTTGACAATTAAATATTACAGTATCGATTTTTTTTGGGCCATGAATTCAATAAGGAAAAGAAAGGTCTCATTTTTTGTGGGTTTTGACAGATGAGCTCCAAATTCGTCAAATTGAACGATTTATGCGAATTTTTTTTGATGTAAGGAAATATGCTTTCCTTTTTCCTGGGCCAACTTTGGAAGCAATCGATATTTTTTTTTGGTTGAAAAAAGTTCTTAACTGGCTTTTCTACAATGTGAATAAAATGCTCAGAGAAAGGATTTTCTGGAAAATGAAAGTTATTTGAGTGCAAAAGAAGTAGAAAAATAATGACAAGAGATATATAGCTTATGAGTGACTGAAATATCTTGTGTGAACTCTGTTTTCAGTTATTCTATAGATTTTTTTTTTTAATTTTAGCTATTTAATTTGTTCTGATGCGTATTTTCTTAGAAGTGGTGTTATTTCATTAAGTTGGATTCTTGTCTTATTTCAATTAGGGTTTTTGGCTATTTATTCGCAAGTGTAATATTGGGACTTGAAGGAGTTGTTGATTAGTGTTGTCACATTGTAAACTAGGTGTGCTATATATGATGAAATAGATTTAGTAGAATGCCAGTGTGTAAGATATAGATGATTCTTTTTGTATAGTATCCAACTGGAGTTTGTCAAAGAGAAATGACCTAAGGCATTGTTTTGACTTCCATGTGATTTTTCTTTTGAGCTGTGAAGCGTTTTTTGATTATTCTTTATTTTGGATTGTATTCTTTTGTGTGTAAAGGTGGTGGCTCGCTTCAATGAAATTGTCACAAAGCCACTGTTGGAGGGAGCTTTGGACACTTTCAAAAAGTACTCGGTCAAAGAAGAAGATATCGATGTAAGTAATTTTGAGCTAGTATTTGTTTTCTTGCCTTTTTTCTTGCACACTCATTAGTTGTGACTTCATCGCACAGTTTGACTTCCACATTTTGGAACTTGCTTCCCTTGATTTAAATGGACTTTTCATGTATCACTTCAATGTTATAGCCTACATACTCATTTGGTGCCTGTTGTGGTACTTTTTCTTTATGAAATTTATTGTCAAGCCAGTTTGCCTTGTCATTTCCTGACTCAAATCATTCTTGTTTTACATTATAATGTTTAACCTAGAATTTTGGTGGTGACTGTTTTAAATAAACTGACAATGATACCTTATTATGCTGGTTTCTTTATTGCAAATGTATCAATTTTTTTTAACACAATTTTTTTTTTTTTAACACAATTTGCAAATGTATCAATTTTTTTTAACACAATTTCATTTTCCCTATTACTAGAAGTACTAGCATATTTTTCCTGGTAGCTTTCTGGGATATAGTTCATTTACTGATCCATTTTTTCAAGATGATTAAATGACCTTTGGGTTCAATATTGAATCAAACCACATTATACATGTTATCTTGGAGTAGCTTTTTATGAAGTTAAGAAATGGTTCATGTATTGGAAGTAACATGGTTTACAATTGGGGTTTGTTAAATATGCAAGAAAATAAATTGGCCAAATGTACATCACTCATATGCACTTTTAAGTTCTCTTAATGGGCTACGTATGAATCCTTATGATCGTTTTGCATCAGGTTGTGTGGGTTCCAGGTAGTTTTGAAATTGGTCTAGTTGGAGAGAAACTTGGGAAGTCAAGAAAGTATCAAGCCATCTTATGTATTGGAGCTGTGGTAAGCACTCATCAACTATTTCCTGTTTGATAATGCTCAGTTAGTAGATTTGATTCCCTCATTTAGTTGTTTATGTTCCGCTTATACTCTTTTCCCACTCAATTGAAGCAATAGTTGTGGTGAATCTTTTTTAGCATTCTTTGGTTTGCTTATAAGTTGCATCAGGCCTTTAAATGGCATTCTCTTTCACAAAACAAAGTATGATTGCTACTGTTTCACTCTTGCATTTGTAGCTTAATTGTGACTGACATTGGCTAGAATCCATTATTCTCAGCTTTAACGGTCCCTAAAATTGCTACTCCAATATCATAGATCAACTGTGACATTATTAGTTATTCCTGTGAGGACATCCTTGATGATTAAATCAACCTGCTTATAGCTGTGAACTGGTCGAGTGTTCCATATGATGCACTGAACTCTCATTGCTAGAGCTGTAAGGCTGGAATCCTTATGGATATTAGTTTTCCCAGGTTGTTCATAAAATTTGAAACTTGTTACGCTGTTAGATTGGAAAGTGTTGTCTTTGGCATATGAAGATTAAACCTCCCACAAATGCACACATTTGCAAGAGTTTATGCTATGTTTTGCTATCTTTCTGTTTGGGGGATGAATCATTGCTAATGTTGAACTGATCTTATTGGACCATATATGGGGTATTATCTTGATTTTTAATCTATAAATATATGTTGAGAGAGAAATAATTCAAAATATCAAAAACTCTTTAGTGAATCCATCTACTGTAGATAAATAATTAAAAGTTTCTAGTCTGGTGCATAGGGAGACACATACTAAAAAAACAGTATGCGCACATGATGGATGGCGTTGTAATCTTCTACTACTTTTATCAAGGAGTTCTACAATACAGAAAATAAGAAAAAAGAAAAAAAATAAACTTGACAAGTGAAAGATAAAACAAAAATGGCATAAAGAATTAGCTACCAATGTTTTAAAAAGCTCTCGGCAATGAAAATGCGTTGGGACAACCAGGTGGGGCTTGGGTATTGAAGGGTGTTTGCCCAGACAATTGGGGTATATGTCTTAGGTGACAAGCCATGGCTTTTGTGCCCCAAAGTTTGATGTGTGTGTTTTGTAATGCATATTTGTTAGGAGTACTTCACAGTCAGAAGTTTGTAGCTCATAGTGCATATGTTCACGTGCATTATTTGCTTTTGTAATGTGGGACCATTTACAATTATAAACTTAGAAATTCACTTGGTCTCTCTTTGTTGCACATTCCGATCTCTTAATCCATGGTATTTTTACTGGACCATCATTTTTCACTCCATTACTTTTGTGATTTACGTATGAACATTTTTTCTTTTTAATTACCCAAAAAAAAAAGAATTGTACTTATTAGTATAAATATGCCATGTAGTGTGATTTAAGGCTTCAGATAATGTTTCTATCAACATTATATTTTTGTCTTCTTGTGCTTTGGGTCAACCTTGTATGTATTTTCCAATTGTGGAAAATAATTAAAATAAGTAGTTTATAAAGTGAAAGATAGAAAGTTGTCCTTTTAGTTTTGGATGTCCTATGGATAATGATTTGATGGAGGAATTGTGTTTTTGACACCTATTTATTAGTAATTCACTTTGTAGTGTATGTTTTATTTATCCATCAGTTATAATTCTCTGTGCTATTTTTTATATTTAAAGCACTTAGTAATATTTTTCTTATAGCAAATTATTCATAGTTTCTATGTATTACCATTGAAATTTCAAAATTTGTGGGGCTAACGCCCTACAGCTCGGTGCTGTAACCTTACCTCAACTGAGATAAAATGCCATGCCCAACACCCCTAAAGATGGCTTTCAGGTGTTATAATATTTTTTAATTCCCCTAAAGATGGCTATCAGATGTTATATCATTTTGTCTTATTAGTAATTTCTAGTCTTATGAATCAGGTTCATCCCTGCATCTTTGTGTCAAACCTCTTTTAAACGGCTCTGCCCTTTTTTGAATTGTTCTCCATTTAAGTCTATGGAAATCACTTTCTAATTCACTGCCAGAACTAGTTCTTTGGCAACTCCGTTACCTCAGAATATCCAGTTCCATTTCAAAGTAAGGGCCAGCCCTCGCCTTTTTTAAACACTATTAGTTACTTAACTGCCTTTACACCTGAGGTCCAGATGAATCTGAGGACAGACATCTACCTAAGTTAGTCATCTCTAATGAAAGTTTTCCATGCTTTGATGCTTGGTTAACCGCAAACCTTCTTAGACAAGTATTGGTTTAGCCATGTATGTTATTTCTTGGAAACTTTTTGATCAAATACTACATGTTAGAATTGTTTTTGGAGCATTTTACGGGACATGTTCGTGGAAGTTAAATAACCAGTTGACAACCAGAATGAGGCCAAATATGCAGAGTGTTGCTGAATACCTAAGATGCTTTTGTGTTAAGACATGAGCCATTGTTTGAGTTCCAGGCCGAAGGAGCTGTCTGATTCTAGTGTTTCAAGCTATGTAAGCCACTGTAGTTAGTATAACGAATCTTATTGCATTGCTCAAAAATGAAGCTCTGTGTGGAATAGTTGATATAATATAGTCTTAACATTTATTAGTAGTAATTGACGTGAACTAATGGCAAATATAATGTAACTTCCATTATAGAAGGGCACGGAGAGTTTTTGCAGAAATGCTACTTAATTTCAGGTTTTTTATTTCAAGCATATCTGCTTGGGACTGGTTTCTTATTGCTGCTAGATGAGATTTCTAAGTTTTCCCTTAATCTGCATTTTGACAGTTCTTGCGAGCTTCAGGATTACCTTAAGTAACACTCGTTTCCTTCCTTTTCTTGATTGTATTGGCTGCCTCGCAGAAGAAAAGAGAAAGGGTACAATGAGTGGGATAGATTTTCTAAGGCACCAAATATAATAGGGAATAGTTCAGTCATTACTGCCATTAACAAAATCACATACTTAAGGCTCTTCCAATGAAAATTCACAACAGTCATGGTCATTCTAATTTATTTTTGAGTTGATAATATACTTCTAGATTATATAGTAGTGAACTCTTTGGTATTTACGAATTGTAATAGAATTCTTACCTTTTGAATGGTGGTGATGGCTCTAACTTCGCATAAATTTGATATCAACGATCATTATCAAATTCTTCTTCCACATTTGAACCCTGTATTCCAAAAATTGAAAATGTAAATTTCAGTTGGAAGTAGAGGAACAATTTTAATTGTGCTAATGAAAAGAGAATGCATTAGGGTTTGGTGTGACTACTGCTTTCTAAATTGGATATCAGTGGATATTGGACTCTTAAAACATAATAAGCAGGTCATGCTCTCTCTCTCTCTCTCTCTCAACTGCTCTCTCCCTCCCTCTCTCTCTCTCTCTTCTCTCATGCGCACATAATGTGTGGACCTAATTTCTTCCCATGTACTTATATTTTTTGGCTCTTGGTTGATGGATGATGGCTAGTCATCTAGTAACATTTGACAAAGCTAGACTATAGCAGGTTGCTTATAGTTTCTAAAAGGAGAGAAATGGTGGTTATGTTTCTTCATACTCATTTGAAGAATTGAAAACCTGTATCTGGATATGAGAGCAGCTGGATGATAATGTTCAATTTGGGGAACAAACTTTTCCTTCAACTTTTGTAACTTTATGATAGTTCTTCTGCTTTAAAATTGTGATTCTATGATACTTATGTTTCTTAAAGAGTACAAACATGTAATGACTGCTAAAACATCTTGTCGGTCGTTTAGATCCTCAGTTATCTTTATGAGGTTTCATGGGTTGAGTTGTTCATTCATTTTAATTGCCGAATTATGGTACCATTCAACTTCATTACCAGTTACTAGTTCCTTATTTCCTGCCAGTTGTCAGTGCATGAATCAATGTTAATGAGTTTGGTTTTTCTGGTTACTTTCTTTTCTGGGCCAGTAGATTAGAGGCGATACTTCCCATTATAATGCTGTAGCTAATTCAGCTGCATCTGGAGTACTGTTTACAGGCCTTAATTCTGGTTAGTTGATGTTAATGCAATCAAGCACAATAAGAAATGATGAAATACATGTTTGGATATCAAATTATTCTAAATAATATTTCGCTTGCATCATAAACGTATTTTGCAATCCACCTTTTTATATTTCCAATTATCTTTTTATCTCACATACATCACGTCACAAAAAGTGCTACAGTAATTATTCCAAATAATATTTCAAATAATACTTTATCCAAACAAACCTGCGGCATATCTTTTCCGCTGTTGGCGGTAACTTTCTGTATTATATCTCTCACATTGGTCATTCGCTTTTTATATATGCATTATCGTAGTACATTGCTCAGCATGAGATTTCTGTTCCTCATAAGCTGTGTAAGAAAGAAACTTTCTATAATAGATTTTCCTAATTTACCTAGAGTATTTTCTTTTTTTCCCCACTTATTGACTCTGGATTTTATTTGCTTCTGTGTCTGATTTTTGGGATACAAAGTACTAGGGTTAATTTACTGGGGTATAAGAAAAATGGTTCAGCTGTATACTTATCAGAAGTGACTTTGTTTTCCCTAATGTATATGAAATTGGAGTTTGTGCTAAGCAAGTAAAATACGATGTCTTTTATTCTTCCCTCTTTATATTTGTTGAGATGTTTGGAGGAGAGAGGAAGAGGTCAGGCTTCCAAGAAAGAGAATTATCCAGATCCCGCCTACATTTCAGGAAAGGCTACTAGCCCAGGATACGGTTTATTTCAATACCTAATGAAGAAAAAAATGTCAACCTACAAACTGTAATAATATTATTGCCTTTCATAATGGAAATGATGCGCAAGTTTTCTTGATCTTAATGATTTCATATACTAGGAATAACTACTATCTAAACCACTATGTTATCTGGAGAACCAATATTTACTAACTTGAAGTACTAAAAGCATGAATTCAGCCCTAGGGGAAATAGTTGTTAGAGGAGCTTTGGTAGATTTGATTGTATTAGCAACATATCCAATAGCTTAGTTAAACAAGTTTGTTAAGAAAGGAATCAAAAGATTGTTAAATGTGTATACTACTGATCCATAGGTTATAGGAGTGATGGAAAATTTTGCCTAGTTGACAGATGGTTCTTGTGTTAAAAGCACTCAACCCGAATGGGAAGAAAAGGATCAGAAAACCGCGATCCACATTGTAAGTTTGCTGAGCAGACCAATCAGGCATTTAGAAAAGGGAAGGGAACTTCTCAGCAAAACTTTTGTTGTTAAAAGATGTTCGTGGTTTATTGCTACATAGAACCACTTTGAAATTGTCTAACTCATAATAAGTACACAGCATAGTGGTTGTACCTGTTTTTCCCATTTTGTGCTCGTAGACACAGAAGCAGAGGGTCTTATGTTCTCAAATGTCAGATGATGAGAAAATTGTTGAGTGTAGGAGTTTGCAGATACATTCCTCATAAAAGGTAATTGAGGTGCTTAGGAATCATCCACTTGCTTTATTGTGCGCACGCCTATAACTTCATTTTTGTGTTTCATATACAGACAATTCTGTCCGTGGAATGCAGTCTTAAAACATTTACGTGGCTTAATGGTGGAGTAATTAATTTTCCTTTCAATGAATTCCAGGTGTTCCATGTGTATTTGGTGTTTTGACCTGTGATGACATGGAGCAGGTAAATTCATGAAATTTCTCTTTTGCTTAATAAAACTCATCGAAAACTCACAGTTGACCTTTCTGATCTCCTATACTCTTTTTCACAGGAGTTATTGCATAGAAAATCATAAAATAGTTCATCACATAATTGCCATGTTGCTGGATATGATAATCATCCTGTGGCTAATATTTGGTAAAATGTCTATGCTGATGGAAATTGTCACTCTGATCTTTACCAGTATTCTACAATTTTTTTTTCCATTGGTACCCCATTTCTTAAAGTTACATTATGATAAATGCAGGCTCTCAATCGAGCTGGTGGTAAGTCCGGAAATAAAGGTGCTGAAGCAGTGCTGACAGCTGCAAGTCAATTTCATTTTGTTTAGTTTCTTTGTTCTTGTCTCTTCATTTTCTTGTCATTTTACTCCATGGATTATTTATTTGCTGTCTGGTGAATTGGTTGCTTTGTGGATAGTATCTGATTTGTGTTCCGTTTAAATCAAATCTCATCAATAAAGAACCTTTTTTGTTTTTCTTTTTTGTTCGAGGCCCATTGGAAAGGGGTGATTTGACGTATTTCTCTGTCTCTACTGGGTTTTGCCCTTGTAACAGGCCTCCTTTCAATATAATTTAGTAGAATACAGCTGATAGTAATGCTTGGAAAGGGGCTTCTTGCTTAAGCAGTGAGGTATCAATCATCCAAAATGAATTACTTTTCGAGTTAAAAATGGGAGTTAGAAGGTAAATAAGGGGTTGAACTCCATAATGACCATTGGTGGACCTCTGTGATATTACTGGTTTCCCAACCAGAGTTTCTCGGCAAGACTCTGAAATATCTAGCTTTTATTAGTTCCAAGTTGCATCTAGTTTATGACAGTGCATGTAGTTATCGGTAGGCTTCTAAATCCAATTCTGATTGATTGCTGCTCATAATATTGGCCTCCTTTAGGTCATCATCTTATGAGTAAGAAACTTTGGACGGGAAGAGTCTGTTTCCTGTCATAGCATATTTATTGCCATGATGTTCATTTTGTATCCTGGGTCTGACAAAATAATGAGCTGTGTAATATTTAGACATAAATGTTCCTGTTCTGCATTTTCCTGTTGTGTCATATTTTAGAAATAAATTTTCCTGATCTGCATTTTCCTCTCTAATAATGTCTATTCATGATCCAATACCAAGGATGAATTTGTTTCCTTGTTTGAGTTGTATTGCAGATTGAAATGGCTTCTTTGTTTGAACACCATCTGAAATTTTAGGAAGCAGGTGCTGTAATTCTTCTCTTCTGAACCCTTCTCAGCAGCCAGAATATGTCCATCCTGTAATACTTGTAATGATTGATTCCTTGCGTCAAAGATTTTGTGTTGTAATTCTCTGCATGCATTCGGTCGTGGGCTAGATGGAGTATTTGTTGAGATTTTTGTAAACCTTATAAACAGTTTCTTCTATGCTCTTATGCACTGCTTTGGTTTCTAATTTGATGTTTGTGGCGATTTTTGTCAATGAACTCTGATGTGTCAAAAGTCTAATTTATCTTCAATAAATACTGCTACGAGAACTACCAGTGCTACTGCTACTATAAAAGTATCATGGGTTTTTGTGCCTTGAAGTGTACATGCATTTTTGTTGTCTGAGTTTTTGTTATTCCAATTATCTATGTAAACATTTTTTTAAGAAAGGAAACAAGATAAAGAATAATTTGTCAATTTGTTAACTTTTAACCACTAGAATAAGGATTAACTTTTTGAGCACTCACAATGTAGTGATTTTTTTATTATTAACTGTTTTAAATTCAGGTTATTCTTAGAATAATACCATAAAATAGGTACACTAATAATAGATTGTCAATAATACACTATATAGATAGGCACAATGTACAAACTTTCTTCTTTATTAAATCTGCACAAATTTACATACAATAGGACAATAATAATTTGAAGAAATAAAGATTGGTTGTATAACCACTTGAAATTCAATCTGGAAATTGGTAAGGTTGCAGCCTGGTTGATCCCCCAATGCTTTATGCTGTAGCTTCATTTTGAGCCATCGATGAGTATTATCTGGAAAACAAAGGACAAAAGCGAAAAAAAAAGATAAAAAGACAAGACATAAATGGAATTCCAAACGCTAAGAGTTTACAATTAGATATTGTTAGAAATTTAGTGTTGTATTTACTAGTTAATGGCTTGCATGTTCTCAATTTAAAAAAACCATTCTAATGAATATTTTATATTTTCAGTATATATATGGCTCTGTTAACCCTTGATTCATTATTAAGCAGTAAAAAATGATAGGTAATTCTATAGTCATATTCTATAAACTAGGCCTTTGTTTGTTGTAATTCTATAAGCAGTAATTATTTGACTTCAAAGATGATAGGTAAGTAAAAAAATGTGTGAATAATCATACCTGAGCAGATTACTATTCATCAGATATGTGAACTCGAGGGATATGTGATATCTTTATCCAGTCATCTCCTGTTTTGTCAGAATAACGATCGCTCAACTTGTTACAACCCCGAATATTTAAATTTTTGAGAGATGATATCTTTCTGACGATGCGATGTGGTAGGGTTTCAAGCTTTTCACAGTACCAAATTTCTAGCTCCTCCAAGCGTGGCATGATAGAGACCGCAACTTCTTCATCATCTTCACTTAAGTCTTCCCAATTTGTCCAATTGTGAAAGGACTCAAAATGTAATTTTCTCAAATTTGGAAATGCTATTGCTTCAGCTGAGGATGATGACTCGGAGTTTGATAATGTATCAAGAGCATCATGACTACTCTCATGCAGTGCTTTTGTAGCTCCGAAGAATTCCTTACCCAAACATTCCATCTTTTCCGCTCTCCAGAGCACAAGCTCTTCTAGGGATGATAGCTTCCCATTGGCGCGAGACTTCGTCACAAGCCAACTTGGTAACTGGGTTCCTGGATAGCAAATTAGCGTAAGTCGTTGCAAATTTGGAGGTGGTTCCATGGTTTCAATGCAACTTGGATTTTCTATGAAGTGGGTCCCCAAGCTAAAGAACAAAGACATTTGGCTCATGTTGATTTTCTTTCCGAGTTCCGCACTCCCAAAATCTACCTTTCCCTTAATACTAATGTGCAATATTTCCAATTGGTTCAGGTCCTTCAAAATTGCCAAATCATCAGAGTCGCTCCTGACGGTGAATCGAGTCAAACTACAAAGTGACGTCAGCTTCCCGAGTCCTTGTGGAATTTGACGTAATTCAAATGTCTCATGATTGAAAAGGTGTCTCAAGTGTACAAGGTCTTCAATCCTTTGGGGAAGGCACGAAAGCTTTATACAATGATTGATATCCAAAGTTTCCAAATAATACAGATCACATATAGCTTCTGGCAGTGTCACGAAATGATTATAACTTAAGTCCAAGTGCCGAAGATGAATCAAACTTCCGATCTCGGGTGGGATTTCAGCTAGCTCACAATGATTGATATCCAAAGTTTCCAAATAATATAGATCACATATAGCTTCTGGCAGTGTCACGAAACGATTATAACTCAAGTCCAAGTGCCGAAGATGAATCAAACTTCCGATCTCGGGTGGGATTTCAGCTAGCCCACAATGACATAAAACCAGAGTCCTCGCGCATTTCAAACTGTAGAACAGATTTTGGAGAACTACTACTCTTCCAATTTCAGGAAAAGTTAAAAAGCTCCTGAGCCTTTCAAAATCAACGACTCGAGAACTAAACATCTCCTCCTCAATGCCTTCCAAAATTGTTAGATGATGTGCTCTTTCACTGGAAGAATTTCTTCCAATTCCACCAAGTGCATGACATTCATTTTTTGTAAGAAATTTTGCAAATCCATGCACTATGGCATGCATCTTGCACTGCATATATTCATGAAACCCATCAACATTTCGTATTTCTTGAAAAAAGGAATGCATTGCCAAATTGTTGAAGTACTCAAGGCCCACTAGCTCCAAGCGTTCACCTCTTTGTCTTGGGCGAACATAACCTTGTGCTATCCACAGCCTAATAAGCTCTTCTACATTTATCTCATAATCTTTGGGAAAGACAGCACAATAGGAGAAGCAACGTTTCAGCTCCGGGGACAACTTGTTATAGCTTAAATACAAATGAGGGAAAAGGTCCACGGCTGCTTCCTCCAATTGCCATATCTCACTGTCCAAAACATCCTGCCATTTTTGTACGGTATCTTTGAACCGTAACAAGCTCCCCATAGTCTTCTCAGCAAGTGGCAACCCCTTGCATTTTTCTGCAATTTTCTGCCCAATTCTTTCCACCTTCTTGCACAAGTCCCCTGATCTTCCATCAAATGCTATCCTTTGCATTATTAGCCAACAATCAGAGTCGGACATCAGGGCCATCAGGTGAGTATGAGTTGTTCCCACCGCTCTGGCCACTACTAGACTCCTTGTTGTTACCAAGATTACACTTCCAGGAGCCCCATCCTTGAGAGAGTATTCGAAAGGTTTCCACTTTGAGTCATCCTCTGTCCAGACATCATCTAGGACAAGCAGGAATCTCTTACCGGAAAAAGTTTCTTTTATACGTCGGATCAACAGATCCAACTCTGCTTCATGAGAACTATTTCCAGCATTGTCAAGGATAGCTTTCGCGACCCTTTTCTGGTCAAAAGGATCCGATACGCAGATCCAATTTCTAAGATCAAAGTGATTCTTCACTTCATTATTATTGAAGAGTAACTGTGCAAGTGTGGTCTTTCCACTTCCACCGGCCCCTACTACAGAGATAGTTTGAACCCCATCATCTCTTCCTTGACTGCTACTCTTAGACAAAACTAGGTCGAGTAAAGCAACCTTATCAGATTCTCGACCATAGACCTCTGATTCGTCTATGATTGGGGTAGTCATAATTGGCTGAAAATCTTGAGAATCAGGAATACCCCCACTTGTAATAAACTTGAATTGATCTGCCTCTTTCAAAGTTAATTCTAGCAGTTCATTTATTTTCTTTATTTTCTCAGCTATATCACTACGAACAGGAACTTGTTTAGGACAAGAACAAAGGGATGGGATGAAGGAACGAACCTTGCTCCACAATGTTGCCTGCAATCTGGCATTCTGTTGAGTTCCCTCATTCTTTGCTCTGCGAATCTTGAAGCTCCATTCGTCCAGCGTGTCATCCATCTCATATGTTATGTCCTCAAGCTTTTCTAGCCAAATTCCAACACTTCTGTCCTTCAGCCTTCGTCTCTCTGCATAATGCAGCACTTTTTCAATGGTTGCCAAGTTAGAGGAGATATTTGCCACCTCCTCTTCAACCCCTCTCACCAGGTTGACCTTCTCCCCAACTTGCTTCACGACCACATCACCCAGTTCATCTATTACCTTTGGAACAAAAAATTCAGTCATTGCCTTTTTTTTTTTTTGTTTTTGTGGTACAAGGAGTATTGGAAATAAAATGTTGCGAGGATAGAATGCAATGATTTGGAAAGGATGTTTTGTTGCAAACAGAAGTTTGAAACAAAGGGCAAGGAGTGGTGACTGAGGACTACTCCTACTACATTGTTATATACGCGTTTTCTTACTTGGTCTTCCCAGTCAACTTTTATTTAATTATTGCTACGTATTTAGACGGTACTGAGGATATTATTGTTAAGGTTTCTTTAATGGTGGTGAGTGGGTTCTTTAAGATTTTAATAATGCTTATAATCACAATTATTTTCCAATCTTCCTGCATTTAGAAGAATTTGGATTAATTTTACCTTTTGCAAAATCAAAGACGTGGGAACTAATTAATCAATGCCTTCCAGGCACCGGTAAGAAAGTCTTATTAAATATTTGGGAAAATGATCGGTTTCATCTTTCACATTTCACAAAAATATTCTTTTCGTCCCTCACTTTTAAAATGAAACAATTTCGTCCTTGACATTTAAAAACTGAAATTATTACATCCCTGAACCCAAATTTCAATATGAATCAAATCACCAATCAACCTAATTACAAATTTTGGGTGTGTAATTGGTAGATCATTTGGTTAACTCAACTTGATATTCATGTGAAATTTAATGAACCTTAAAAGAAAAAAATAAAAAATTATAACATAAAAAAGAAAGATTAATCTTTTCTACATTATCATTGTATACACTGATGGTTTTATGTACCGGCATATCATTTTAATTTAACTTTAAACACCAAATTTTATATTTATGATACACATCTAGATTCGCAAGCGGATATACTAACGGTGCATGAAAAGATTTACCAAAAAAAAACTCTACTATTCCAAGACAAAGAATGGCCTTTTTATTTTATAATTTTTATTTTTTGGTTTAATAAATATCATGTGAATATGATGAAGTTGACTGAATGATCTATCAATTCTATTTTCGAAATTTATTACTGGATTATTGGATGGTTTGATTCAGATTGAAAATTAGGTTTAGGGATGTAATAGTTTTAATTTTTAAATGTCAGGGACGAATTTGCTTCATTTTAAAAGTGAGGGACGAAAAGAATATTTTTACGAAATATGAGGGATGAAACAGGTCATTTTCCCTAAATATTTAATAATTGCTTTACCTTTTATTTTTAGTTTTTCATAAACTATCAAGTGTAGGATTTATTTTCTCCTATCCACCGGTGACTCTTTGATCCCAACTGTAGATGGCTAGCAAGTGGTAAAACTTTACAAGGTGTGGACAAAGGTTAAAAAAATTATAAAAATTGTGTACTGAAGCACCAAGGAATAGAATAAAACAATTCGTCGTCATGACATGCGTTTAAATATAAGAAATTTGTACAAAGGAAAAAGGTTGGGACTTTTGTTTGCCTATATCATTACGAGCCGTGATTTCTGATTCAATTCTGACCACCCACTCTATATTTTTGTATTCGTATAGGGTTAATTCCACTTTTCACCTTTTACCCATGCTCAGATTATTACTTTGATTCCTAAACTTTAAAATGCGAACATTTTAGTCCTTCGAATAAAAATTTGGGAAAATGACCTGTTTCATCCCTCATATTTCGTAAAAATATTCTTTTCGTCCTTCACTTTTAAAATGAAGCAAATTCGTCCCTGACATTTAAAAATTAAAACTATTACATCCCTAAACCTAATTTTCAATCTGAATCAAACCATCCAATAATCCAGTAATAAATTTCGAAAATAGAACTGATAGATCATTCAGTCAACTTCATCATATTCACATGACATTTATTAAACCAAAAAAATAAAAATTATAACATAAAAAGGCCATTCTTTGTCTTGGAATAGTAGAGTTTTTTTTTTTGGTAAATCTTTTCATGCACCGTTAGTATATCCGCTTGCGAATCTAGATGTGTATCATAAATATAAAATTTGGTGTTTAAATTTAAATTAAAATGATATGCCGGTACATAAAATCGTCAGTGTATACAATGATAATGTAGAAAAGATTAATCTTTCTTTTTTATGTTATAATTTTTTATTTTTTTCTTTTAAGGTTCATTAAATTTCACATGAATATCAAGTTGAGTTAACCAAATGATCTACCAATTACACACCCAAAATTTGTAATTAGGTTGATTGGTGGTTTGATTCAGATTGAAATTTGGGTTCAGGGATGTAATAATTTTAGTTTTTAAATGTCAAGAACGAAATTGTTTCATTTTAAAAGTGAGGGACGAAAAGAATATTTTTGTAAAATGTGAAGGATGAAACCGATCATTTTTCCTAAAAATTTTGTCCCACTTAGGTAAAATTAATGATGAAAATGAGACAGATTTTATATTTAAGTGAGACAAATATCATTCTTTAGGGATTAAAGTGGAATAGATTTTATAATTTAGGAATTAAAATAGGATAGATTTTGTACATTAAAAGACCAAAGTGAGACACATATTATACTTTAAGAAAGTAATTTAAAGTTTAGTGATTAAAGAAGGAATTCGGGAATAATTGAGCGGTGTAAAGTGAAATTAATCCTTGAAATATGTAGAATAGAAAAACTGATACTGTTTAATTTTTGGTTGAAATAAAATGACAAAAGTGGGCAGTGTTGGAAACCAAAAAGATTACATATTCGTGCCCGTTCCGTATTGAAAAGAAGAATTACTCAGCAGCTTCTTAATCAACTAGTGCTGGATTCTGTGATACATTACTCAACTAAGTATTGAACATTTATCATAGTGAATAAACAAAGGATGATATTCGATTTCTGAAATATGGACTTGGAAAGGATTTTTTTTTTTTTTTTTTTTAACTTAGGAGAAAGGGATCGCTTCCTTAGTACTACTCTACTCCTACCGGGTCTTGACTCTTTGAGCTTGATTTACAGCTTTTGACGATTTACTTTACATCTTTTAATGTAGTCCACAACATTTACTCAATTATTGCTAGATATTAGACGGTATACAGGTAAACGGATCCATTCCACACAGCTCCATTTTGTGCCTCACATTTCAATTTACCAACACGATAGACCCCAAATGTTTCTTGCATTAACTATTTAAAGTTTTATCCTTCAAAATAAAAAACTATTTAAAGTTTAAGGGATATTTGGTAAGTAGGTTTTATGCTACGAGTTTCAAATTCAATCTCATTTGGATTGCTATTTTTTATAAAAAAAATTGATATATGTGAGGTAAAAAAATGATTGAAAAATATGATCACTGAAAACGTAACAATTTTTTTGAAAAAATTTGCAATCCAAACATGTAAATCTAAATAAATATGAGACGCTTATTCTTTGGATTTTGTAATTACTTATTTTTTAAATAGAGATTTAATGTTTACTTATTTATTTGTCTCGTATCTTAAATTAAAAGTAAGAAAGCCATTTTCATTTTATACTCTGCATTCCGCTTTTCTTTCAGTTTTTGGGCATCCTTTGCTGCTAATGTGGCGGTGGGGACAAAGTATGAAAATACGAAATTTCCAAGCGAACACGTATCCAAAAGACAATAGGGAAAACAGTCCAATATAGTGGTGCCTTTGCACATTTCCAAAAGACAATAAAAATGGATGGGGTGTTTTTCAAAAATTAGCTTTTTAAATATAATAAAAATTTTTAAAAGGTTATCTAAAACTTAATTTAATTTTTTTTAAAATTTTAAAATATATTCTAGAAATTCTTCTATTCTTAAATATTTCAAAATATTTTTTAAAAATATCTCAAAATATACTTTAAAAATTCTGTTATAGTAAAATTTTTTAAAAACATCTCAAAAAACAGTTAATCCAAATGGAGTGAATCACTCCGTTAAGTTTGCACATTTCCATTTCAATAGTCAATTACTTTGGATTGCTCTTCCTACCTTATTCATACCTCAGCCGTCCTTCTAGTTTCTTCTTCTACTCCTCATTTTTTCCCTTTTATCATTTTTTTAATTTTATTATTTAGACGGTGAAAATGATGATAAAGTTAGTAAAGATGTACATTACAAACTTTTTTTTTTTACCATAGAAGGCCATTTGGTAGTGAAGAAGATGATAATAGCCAATATAAATATCAATTATAAAGGACGCATATATCTTCAGTACATGGTTGTTCTACTTTTCTTTCTTTTTTGTTAATTTTCAATATTGGAGTTGATTTTACAAACCTTATTTGATTTGTTCTTGACTTGGGAGAGTCAGAATCTTCTTTTTCCATTAATTTGAGATATTCGGTAGATAAATTTATATTTGTTTTGATCTTTAATATTGCTAAACGAAAAACATTTTCATTTCTTTGGTTGATGAATTGAAAATTGCTAGACATTGTGTAAAAGATATTTCAGAATTCAGGGTTTTTGCCTTTATTTCATACTTCCTCATTATTAGCTATTTTTTTATTATTAAAAAAGTTTTAAAAAAATCATCGAGCCGATGAACTGACTGGTTAAACCGATTTTTAAAATTTTTAAAAAAAAAAAAGAACCGAACATCCACCCAATTTGTTTGGAAAAAAAAAAATCCACCTAATTCATTTACCTGTCCGACTTTGAAAACATCGAGGACAGCACAGATAACAGAAAGGACAACAATTCTTCGACAAAATTAATGGGCTGCCCTACAAGCAACCAAGTACACAGAAGATAACAATTTGAAATTGACTACTTCCTAACAAATTTATATCTATTTGAAAGAACAATTAAAAAGTGAATTAAAGAATGATTAATGGTACAAATAAGTCACTACCAGCCAATAAATACTGCAAGTTGTCATGTGAAAAGGTTCTTCCGTTTATTTAAGTGTAATTAAAGGCAAGGGGATTGCCGGCCTGCCGCTTAAGCTTCTCAATCACAACATGTACTAGTAATAAGCATTTAGCAGTACGTGTCTTTTGAGGTGGACATAAGGTGTAAACTATTTAGCCAAACCTGCTTTTTTTTTTATTTAATATTTTCAGGTTCATTCATTCAAGATGCATTTGGTAAAATTAAAATCTGACATCGTTAAGTTATTAAATTATAAATACTGAAATCATAATATTTGAGCATATTCTGCATTCAATGAAATCCTACACCGTTCG